AATCTGTTCGAGGTTTGAATTTGTTGTTCGTCCGCATCCTTGAATTATTTCTTTTAGAATAATTTAACAAGGCTGCTTCCCCAGTCTTCGCTACATGCTTCACATCTTCATACTGCTCACATATTTTCCGAATAGTTTGAAATATCTGATCCGGACAGAGCAGCAGCTTCTGTTGTAATTCGGGCAGTTGAATGCCAGCAATGAGCCTATCACGTAGCTGGTCTTCCAGTTGGGCACCGTAGTCACATTTGGCTGCCTGTGTTTGCAGCTGCAATACGAAATCACGAACCGACTGAGAATGAGAGCGGGTCAACATATTGAATCTAGCTCTTTCGGCTGCTACGAAGTTAATCGGTTTGAAGTGTTGAAGAACTTCTTTCTTCAATGCAGTGTAAGAAATATCGATTGGAGATTCAGGATATACTAGGTTCTTGATCAAAGTATACGCCTCCTTGCCAACAAACTGTAGGAAATATGCCGTGAGTTTCTTATCGTCCATATCGGATTTTATGAGAAACCTTGTGTCGAATCGTTCCAAATAATCCTCTACGTCACGCGCAGTTGAATTAACATCTAACGGTTCCATTTCTGCAGGCATGATGAATTGTTCTTATCGCGACGCCAAAATGTGAGAATTAAGTTTCGTACGTATATCGGTTTAACCAGACGAACTAGAAATCCAGAATTCAGCGAAGCGTAGCAACCAGCACGTATGTATTCGAATTGGCGAATATGTACAGCATATGGAATATTGAAACAAGAGAATAATGAATACAGCAATGAATAGAGTATCAGTCATGTTCACCACAGTGTGATTAGTTCTCACTGGATAGAACAGAATAGACATGGTGCCACCCATCCTTCAATCACAGAAACCATATCACTTGTTTACGTATTGATTGGCCGCTTGAGTGACGATGTCTGAGATGAAAGTATTATTTGTCTTATCATGTGCTTCTTCGTCGGAGCGACAGTCAATATCTGAACATGTGGAGAGGTTTCTCTGTTTGATGGATGAGTGGTGCTCTATATCCCCTCTATGTGAGAGCTAATCAAGCTGCGATTCAGACACTCGAGGCTGACCGGTCAACTGAAATTGTTCCCTTGCAGTTAACAACTTTAATTCACTCTATCTACCGATTACAAGGCATAGATTTGAATTGCAGAACACTGCCTAGAACCTAATCAATGTGTTTATTCGATTGTTTAACAACCTGTTGAACTGTTTTCCGTTTAACGGCAGGAAATCCACCGTTAGATGTGCGAAAGCTCCACAGTTGGCTGCCAGTTCTGCCAAGAGGCATTACTCGTGACCATTGATAGAAAACAGTAATTTTGCAGAAACATATCGGATTGGTCCGAATTAAGTAAGGAAAGTCCTAACTCTACATATCATTAGGGCGAAATATACCCAGCAAAATTTTTCCCGTATTGGAGACATATTCACTGCATTTAGGAGGTTACAACGTTGAGCCAAGAACAGGTGCCTTCAAAGAGAGGAAAAAATGAGTTGTCATGTCTCAAATGAACCCCTGCTATAAGCAAAGGACGTTTAAGTATCCCTTTGAAAAAACGTTATGGTCACCTGGAATTCAATGTCTCCGTTTTCCTAAGAAAACTGCAGTTTGTTTGCCGTTTCTCTACACCGTTATGAAGCCCACCACAGAATCTCAAAATGGTTAGCGTGAATCGGTTAGTGTGCGCGCTTGCAGGCCCAATATTTGCATATCTTTTCCTAACCTATAGGTGCGCATCTTCGCCTAGTCTATTGCGATGACTCACAGTATTTTCAACCGCACCGTTGGGCTGATGGGCGGTTCGAACAAACCTTGGTTAGGCTTTCAGTCGTACTTGGCGCTTAGTACTCGCACAATGAAATTGAATTTTGACTAAAAGAGGCAGACAATGGAGTTCAGTGTACGAATCCAATCTTTTGAGCCCCATCTAGGCATCCTGGGGTATCAGCCATGCTAAGAAAGTATTCCACCAGACGTTTTTCGCCAGAGGTAGATGGCTTCAGTTGACAGTGAAATTTGGCGAGCTGCGAAAATATGAACTTAGATTAGGATGGTTTTCGGTTTGAGCATAAAATGAAACATTTTGACTTAAGGGGTTTTATTCTACTCACAAATGTTTTACAGCTGAGAGCATTGTGCGGCCAAAGGGCCCCGCCGTATTTCGTGATTCATGATTGAACTCAAAACTGACAGGAGGGTGTTGATCAAGAATGCACTCGACTGCTTTAGTTTGTAATGCACTATTTACTTTGAGACCAAGTTCCTTGGACCTGACCTCGGACCTGTTGCGGCCTCGGTCCTGCCTAGGACCGATTTAGTGCCTCTAAAAAATTGATCGTTTATTGTACAGACTTACCAACCCAATCTGTACTTTCTTATTATATGATGTTGCATAATGAGATATGATCACTTGACGCTCTGCTCAACATGAAACCCCGTAGATTAGGCATACCGGAATCGAACTGATGAAACTGATCTGATACAAGGACGATAGAAGAAGATCCCGCCCCAAGTATGGTGACCCTGAATACTGTTCCCAATGGGAAGACTTTTAGGTATTGTGGAAGACGGGAAAATGCACAAATGTCACAGGATCCCTCGCCCTACTTGGTAAATAAAGCACAAACAATGCGCCCACGTGGCGACCAACCAAAAAATCGATAAAATTAACTGGATATGAGGACAAGGGATGTAAACCCAAAAGGGAGGTCAGTGCCATCATGTAGATTCTCCTTGTGCCTGCCCCCGAGACAGCTAGAGTTGGTTGTCCTTGGTTCAACGAAGGAACTTAAATGGTACTTCAAGTTTATGTGGTTACTGGACAGTTTCATCAATCGGGGTGACATCATCAGTATGCTGTTGGGAAGCGTCGCGAAGCTTAGCGGTGTGATGGTGTTTGTACATTTACTAGTAGTGCGTATGTGTTGTTATATGTGCTGCCAGCTGAGGTCGACCTTCGATCACTATTGGTTGTTCGGTCGGCATTTACTAGTAGTGCGTATGTGTTGTATGTGCTGCCAGCTGAGGTTGACCTTCGATCACTATTGGTTGTTCGGTCGGGTGGTTTCATTGGTTGGTTGGTTGTTCTGCGACCTGTCCACGTGATTTTGTATTCTCTGCTCTTCTACTCTGGTCGATGGTGGACTGATTTCTGTCCTTGACTTACCGTGTTCCAGTTTTTTTTAACTATGTTGATTTTACCCCATGGATTTCCTTGTTTCTTGGGTTGTTAACCCGATTCTCGGCTCTCTTTGAATTTCCTTGTTAAGATATCCTTGTTTTTTGTATGTAGTGGTGATAAAACTTTTGCAATCAAGCTGCCCTTGCATACCATTTGTCAATAGTGGTATAACCTTGGCTTTGACAGTGCGAATGTAAAAACCACCAGAATGGTAGGTGGCTTAAGGCGTGTCTCGAATACTTACTGATTACAAACAACCCACACACACGCAGAAAGGCAGACGGTCAGCCTATTTCGTTCTGAAGTGCACCGACCACAACTCCAATTGATCGATACCACAAGACCGTAATTAAGGCCACGGGTCAATGTGAGTGCTGTGTGTTTTATTACGACTAGTGGCAGTCAATAAATGCGACCCAGAACGTATTCAGTTGTATAATGTCCTGATTTGAAAACGAGTTTGATTGATTGAGAACATTTCAGTAGGATAATGAGACCCTGTGAGCTGCGCCATCTTGGTTGTATCGGTTACAGTGTAAACAGTTCTTATCTGGTTGGTTATTGTGAGGAATTAGCAATGCTCATATGAAGGACGGGGAAAGTAGCAAAGGAAATTTCAGTTTAACGGCAAATCTTCTGAGTTTTCCGACCATTTAGAAACATCTGGTATGGAAAACAAAGGAAGTAGTACAACGCTATCTTTCCATCTGATGTGAACTCAGAGCTGATCAACCAATCAGTTGTCTGTAAGCTACCAAAACCTATTGACTTCCTATCGTATGGGTTTCTTTGAGGGTAGTAAGAGGAATCGTAAAATTGGCCAGTTGTTCCACGAGAAACCCTCCCAAAGGCTTTCAGATTTGAGTTATTCCTGAGGCACTCATTCTAAGCAAGGGTTTGTGAAACCCTTGCGGTCACTACATAATTTACGAAGAACTGTGGACTCGGAAGCGTCACTCCGATCCCCGAGGGCCTCGGAATGCAATATCCAACGACAAAACGTACCACCAATAAAGAGGTAATACGATTCACCCTCTGGAAGGACCATCTCAAGGAGACTGGAGACACTAAAGACAGTAGCGGAAGTAATGCGGTAGGGGTACTCCCTCTGGAATGAAACTTTTCCGGAAGGTAACTTTGTATAGCACTGATTACTGTGCTATCGTGTAAACGATACTGAGAGCATACAGTGAACATCTGGGACCACTATATGTTGAGGCTTTCCGGAGATTCAAATCCTACCGCTGCGGTTAAATATTAAATAAATTAATAAAAATAAGTAAATAAATATTAATATAATAATATAATATATAATATATAATAAATTAATAAAAATTAATAAATAAAAATTAATTAAATATTATTGTAAAATGTAATAAAGCTCAACCTATGTACATCTGCTTACTGGTATCATGATGCACTTATTAGCCTACAAATCAACAAATGTATATGAGTGAATGGAAGAAGGCCTTCGCTGCGGAGTTATCTATTAGGAAATGCCAACTGACCAGTCACAGACTATTGGTTAGGAAAGCAGAACTCTCATTTACATCTTTTTTTACAAAAACTGGACATCCATATTCTCCTGAACGCTTCTTCTTGAACTTTTCTGGATATTCATCGACTCCAACCATTCATTGCTCAAATCCAAGCAAATGCTACAAAGCGACTCCACAAATTCCGTAACAGATCTCCTTTTTCAAGAGACGCAAAGCGAATTTACACGAACGAAACATACGACTCGCATGCTCGCATCCCTCCCCATCAGTAGTATCACCGTTACATTAGTATGTGTGCAATAACCAGGATCACGAGCTAATGACGGGCAATGTTTCCCACTGATGAAAATTAATATTAAAGCATATAATATCTGACATTGTACGGTTAACACAAGCGGTATAATATATAATATAATATAGTATAGTATGATGTAAAAATAGTAAGTTTGATGCGGCCTACCACTAAAGGTAAATAACGATAAGCTGTATTTTAATCGTCTTCGTCCTCTAGTTGGGAACCTGTGACCAGGACGCGATTGCCTGTTTAATTGCTTCCCCCTAACACGTCATTTTTGAACTTTCTCCGGCTGTAGCATTGACCCTACGTATGTATAGGGCAACATAACGTCTTGGACTACGCGCTTCGTATGACTAGATTTAGTGTGCCGCACAAATGTGTGAATGATGAAAAGTTACCATATGAAAACAGTTTACAATAATCTCAAAACGTTTGAACTCTGACTGCAGTTCTCAACGCAAGACTTTTGTGAGCTCTCTTTTAATAAAATCTACCTGTAATCCATGGCAAATATTCTTTTTTCATCAGGTAAACGAAATCAGATCTAACGACGTCCTTGAACGTTCAATAACGCCGCTTTTTGAACAAGCCATTAAGTGTGTTCGATTACTAACGAAGTTAATTGTGTACTTCCTAAGTCGTGATTGAATTCACCTGTGTGTACCTTATGGAAGACTTCATAGCGTCAACCATTTTGGCCTTCGGTAAGCTGTCATCGTCAGCTACGTTGAACCCTCTGTTTCAGCAGAAATCCAAGAATTAATAGTTCATTCTTGTAACCTGTTTTTTGGTTGACAAGGTATAGCGTTCAACCTCATGTAAAGCACAACTAATCAACGCCAACTAAAAACCACTGCATGTTCAACTTAAATAAATGAAGCGACTACAAAGATTCCTAACATGGAAAAGGGATTGTTAGCGAGAAAGGTGTACCTGGAGTGAGGACGGTAACGTATGTTTTTGGAGATTTCGTTTTGTAAGTTAAATCTAGAAGCGTTGTACAACTTTTTTGTATCTGTCGGAAACTAGCATCAGTACGCATCTCACGAAACTGCAAGGAGTCTCCAGTCCGTGACCTCTCAACTGGTAGCTGAAGTGGCGCTATATCTTGTCCAAGAAGGAGTCAGTCACATTGCTGTTCAGCCGCTCGCGTTCGAAACGGTTAGGTATTCAACCAATAGCGAGAGTTTGAAAGTTCAAAAATCCCTGCTTATCGTGAGGTGCGCGACGTTGATGATTCCCAGAAAGGGTAAAACTACCCGACTTTTAACCATCGAGTGACTTTACTTACCCGACGAAACCTCATTTAAAAACTCGCAAAACTCCTCATAATGCTAACAGTAATAGATTGGGGGAAATACTCCCTGACCAAGGTGGACCTAGATGAAATACCGTTCTTTTCTAGACTCACCGATCAGATTTCGGTGGTTTAGTGCACAAGTTAATCAAGAAGAGAATTTTGGAGCAATGACTGACTACATAAACACGTCTT